GATGTTGTAAAAGACCACATAACTGTAGTGTATCTCACATGGAAAAGAACATGTGTGTACAGTAGGAAGCTTTGTGTAAGAAAGCTTGCTTCAACAGTGCAATAAGAAATACAGAGATGTCAGATCAGCTGTGATCAGAAATGATCATGCTAAAAGGAAAATAGAAATGAACCTTGTCTATTTGCTATAGCTTTTTTGTTGTTGTTTTTACGAGACAGGGTTTCTCTGTATTGTTTTGGAGGCTATCGGCCCAACCCGGCCTCAAACTCACAGAGATCTGCCTGCCTCTGCCTCGTGAGTGCTGGGATTAAAGACGTGGGCCAGCACTGCCCGGCTTTCTATAGCTTTAATTTTTTTCAAAATATATCTAAGATGCCTCCCCTCAGAAAAACCACGTATATAAATCCAAGTAAATTCAATGATACAATTTTATGTAAGAATATTTTCACAATTACAAAGAAAGTGATAAAACGGTAAAAATTATTGTTCGTATATTGTATCATATTAATAGATTTTTTCTAGTTGCTTGTATATTTTCTCCATGAATAAAAATGCTGTTTATAAATTGTGTAATATGAATTTGCAAGTAGAGATCTCATCATTCATAAAAACTGAAGGGTACTTGATACAACATTTGGTGTAATTTATTCCAGAGTGATAATCAATTAGGAGGAAATTTCCTAAGAGTGAAGATAGCAAGAAGAAGAGTTCATGGTCACCAATCTAACAGTCAGGCACACTCTTGTAGGAGCACTTTTCAACTGAGGCTGGACCCTTTGAAAGGTGAGACTCAGGCACACACCAATATGTCTTTCTTTTGAAAGTATTGCTGTGAATTGCAATGCTTAATGGTTCCATCAGCTGAAAATGGAGAACTTTACAGGATCATGTATCACTTCCAATACTGCCATCTTTACAACAATAGAAAACTGAAAACACTTCAATTAATATTCAACTTCTATTGCTTTTGCTGAAAATGTGGTTTTTCTCATACAGTGTATTCTAATTATGGTTTCCTCTTCCTCTGGTCCACCTAGTTCATACCTCTTTCTGCCTAGTTTGTCCCCACCTCCCCTCCCATCTAAATCTATTTTCTTTCTCCCAATAGAAAACAGAAGGAGTTCTAGGGCATAACATTAAGAAAAAATGGAGCAGTCTCACACTAGTAACAACATCACACCTGTCAGTTCTGGAACAAAAAGAAGCAACCATATCCAGAATGAGTAGACAATAATAAATATTGAAACTCAGGACTGGACCAATAAAATAAAAACAAACCCAGTACAAATTCTCCAAGAATTACAGAGTTCATTCTCTGAGAAATCAGTCAGACTGACAAATACTGCACCAAATCAACTGAAAGGGTTTAAAGAGAATATCCAAGTTAAGAAAATTAGAGACGAAATTTGGAGCATAAAAGTATCACTAAAAATCCAGGAGTATCATATTCTTTTTTCATATATTACATTCCAAACACAGTTGCACCCACCCTCCCTTCCAGAAATCTCCTCCATCTACCCTCCCTCTTTAACCTTCAGAAAATGGCAGGCTTCCTGGGGATATCAACATTACATAGCATGTTAAGTTGCAATAAGAGTAGGCACCTGCCAAGCGCTGGAGGCACATGCCTTTAATCCCAGCACTCAGGAGGCAGAGGCAGGTGGATCTCTGAAATCGAGCCCAGCCTGGTCTACAGAGCGAATTCCATGACAGCCTCCAAAACAATACAAAGGAACCCTGTCTCAAAAAAAATAAAAATAAAAATAAAAAAGGAGTAGTTACTTATGTACCTCCCCCATATCAAGGCTCGATGAGGCATCTCATTAGGAGGAAAAGGGTCCCAAAAGCAGGCAGATGAGTAAGAGACAGCCTCCACTTTCACAGTTAACAATCCCACAAGAAGACCAAGCTTCACAACTGTAGCATATATGTAAAGGGCCACGGTCTGTCCCTGATCATTGGTTCAGGCTCCGTGAGCCCCTATAAGACCAGGTTAGTTGATTCTGTGGGTTTTCTTGTGACCCCTCTGGTTCATTACTATCCCTCTTCTGAAGGATTCCCAGTTACCTCCCTCATGTTTGGGTGTGGGTCTCTGTATCTTTACCCATCAATTGTTTGATGAAGCCTCTCTGAAGACTGATGATAATTATGCTAGTTTCCTGGCTAGGAGTATAGCAAAAAATCATCAGGAACCATTTTATTGACATCTATCTATCTATCTATCTATCTATCTATCTATCTAACTAACTAACTATCTATTGAGAATCAGGAAATGGACTTTGGGCTTCAGCAGAATTGAGGTCACCATTCCTGGTGTGGCTACGTCCGGGAAGAGTGGGAACGAAGGGTGAAAATTGAAGAGGCGGAGAAGACATAGAAGAGCCGCTGACAGGGGACTGAGGTTTCTAGATAGAGTTTCTCTGTGTAACCCTGGCTGTCCTGGAGCTAGCTCTGTAGACCAGGCTGGCATCGAAGACAGAGATCTTCCTGCCTCTGCTTCTCAAGTGCTGGGACTAAAGGGGTGCATCACCACCACCTCAGCAAGAAGGAAATGGTTTATTTGGCTTACTTTTCCACATAATCCATATTGAAGGAAGTCAGAACAGGAACTCAAACAGGGCAGGATCTTGGAGGCAAGAGCTGATGCAGAGGCCTTGAGCTCAGTGGCTCTCTCCCCGTGTCTCTGTCTCTCTGTCTCTGCCTCTGTCTCTCTCTCCCTCTCTCTCCTCCCCTCTCTCTCTCTCTTTTAGTCTCTCTCTCTTCTCTCTCCTCTCTCCCTCTTCCCAGACAGCACAGGAGCTCAATTTATTCAAGGTTGGTCATATACTCATGAAGATCAACCTACCTCTCCCAGGTGCAGGTATTAAAGCAAATGCTACCACACCTGGGTTAGATCGCTTTCTTTCTTTCTTTTTTTTAAGGGGGACATGTTTCCAGACAGGGTTTCTCTGTAGCTTTGCTGCCTGTCCTGGTTCTTGCTTTGTAGACTAGCCTGGCCTCAAACTCAGAGTTCTACCTGTCTAGGCCTCCTGAGATCAGGGGTATCCTCACCCTCAATGACCTCAGCCCTCCCACATCAATGACTAGTTAAGCAAAAAATGCCCTAAAGTCTTACCTACAGCCAGATGTTATGGAGGCATTTTCTCACAGGGCTCTCACCTCTCTGACTGCAGTTTGTGTCAAGTTGACTTAACTGGAGACAGGGGCAAGAAATGATGCAGGGTTTAAGAAAACTGTCAGTTCCTCCCAACCAGCCCTTCCCAAAATGGCACAGGAAGGTACATCCTAGCTTGGTATGGTGGCACATACCTTTAATACAAGCACTCCAAGGCAAAGGCAGATGGATCTCTGAGTTCAAGGCCAACGTGGTCTACATACAGAGCCATTTCCAGGACAGGGCTACACACAGAAACCCTGCCTCAAAAAACCAAGAGGACTAGGAAGGAAGGAAGGCAGGGAGGCAGGCATATCTTACCAGAGACACATAGAAAGGGGCTCATCTCTTTCTTGTTTAAATGAGAAAACTGAGAGGTGATGATGTTAGATGCAGAAACTAGAGCCTTGAATGTCAGCTCTAGGGTGAGGTAATGACAGTAGATGTTGCTGTCATCACTCCTTCCCTTGTGCAGCACCTGCAGCTTTCTCCCTGCCCCAGGAGCATGCTCCATTATATCCTAACTGTGTGTCCCCCCAGTCCCTCAGTATCCTCAGGGAACTCCTTTATGGTGGTCCAAAGAGCTTCTAGGTTCTAACCAAGGTGCGTGTTTCTGTTCAAACACTTGGAGGCAGATCTCATTCATTTTCTTACACACCCACTTCCTTCTTTGTTCACTTACTATCTTTCATCATTCATTCAAGGGTTTGAGTTGCTAATCGCCATGACGAATGAATGAATTCTCTCACTCCAGGGTAAGTTGCTCATCTAGCCCCCAGGTTGCCAGGCTGCAGCTGGCTGCTTCTCACCCAGTCTATTCCCATAGCCCATCTGGAGTTCCAGAGGCTGAGCACATGAGCTTCAAACCCCTTTCCTATGTTCACAGATATCCAGGCCTTTTTATGTCAATTGCGTGTTTATTCCTCAGAGTCATGTATATGTCATGTGTACCACATGTCAGTCTTACTTGCTCTATTATTTATAACAGGGCTGAAATGACCAGTTGTAATTGATCAAGTTTCACCTAATGTTTTTTATTCCAGTGCCAATGATTGAACCCTGGGCCTTGTACAATTAGACAAAACACACTACCATTGAGGTATATCACATCCCTTCAGATATTTCTACAACTGCCTAAAAACTTCTGAAACACAACTTTCAAATATCCAAAATCGAGGCTTATTCCCTGGAAAAATCTCAATCAATGCTAAAAAACACAGATTTATGTGCTAGAGATGTGATTCAGCATTGGGAGCACTGGCAACTTTTCCATAGGACCCAGGCAGGATCAGTTCCAAGCACCAACACTGTGGCTCTAACTGACTGGAACCTGAGTTCCAGGGCACAATGCCCCCCTCTGGCATACACACTGGTACAGGTGCACATGCAAGGATAACACTAATACAGATTAAAAATAAGACCCTAAAACAGCATTAAAGTTGCACACCTTTAATTCCAGTATTTGGTGGGGGGAAAGCAGATGCAGGCAGATTTTAGGCTAGCCTGGTGTATAGGAGTTCCAGCACAGTTGGGATTTCACAAAGATGCTGTCTAGAAGAAAAACAATCCCTATAACTAACCACCAGCACACTGCTACCAGCAGCACACATCCTTGTAGAATTGTTGGGCCAGGAATTGGGGACCTAACTCAGGGTCTAGGAAAGTTTGTTATCACATTCCTCAGCTCCTCTTCCCCTTTGAAATTTTGAGATAAGATCTCAAATAAGTCTCCCAGTCTGACTTTAAAATAATCCTCCTGCTTCATATTCTGTAATAGTTGAAACGATAGGACTGTACCACAGGACTTGGCTCTTCTTAGTAGAGAAAAATCGCATATACACACACATTTTAAAATGTAATGGTGAGGTTTATTTACAAACCAAAGCTGCTCTGAACACACTTTTACTCCCAACAGTAAAAGACACACACGATGTAGGTCGGCACAGCAGGTCCTTCTTTATACTTAGGGGACAGGTGGTGTTCAGTGTGGCTGCTCATGTCTTTCAGAACAAGCTTCCATAGGGCAATGGATGGGGACCAAAGCCACAACCCATCCAGTCCAGTGCACCAGGAGATACATATCTCCATGAGATTTAGTGCACAGGCCTCTCTGCACACTTATCTGTAGAATTGCACATGATCTCATCCTGGATACCAAGGTAGACATAGAATACTGTCTTTATAAATATCAGGGTAAACTGTGTACAGGGTTAACCTACAGTGTCTGACATCTATTGTTCAGGAGAAAGAACAGGGTGTGGTCTGGAACCCTTTTCCTTCTAGTAAATTCTGGAGAGAAATCTGGACACATTCTTTAGGCATCACTCCACAATCTAACCACACCTGCCTCTCCAGGCTTCTACCCTGCCTTCCATAAGCCTGTTTTCTGACATGTATCACCCTAAGAGTCCCATGTTTTTCAAGTTCTGGTCTTCCAGAAAGCAGAGATGAGACTAAGGTCCGGGGAACTCTCCTGTCCGTTTCTTTAGTACCCACAGGTCCCAGGGATCTTAATTTCAAAACATTCATTCTCAGCTAGAATGCACAATCCTCCTAGGGAGGTGGTCAAAGCACTCAATCACCATTGGAAGGAGTTAGAAGGAACTTAGCCTGCGAATTGCTCAGAGCACAGTCAGTGAAACTTTAGCTTGGCTATAGAGGTACAGGGGGGTCCTCTCTGGAAGGTGGCTTTGAGTCCAGGCAGTTCACTGTCCTATCTCCCCCAGACACAGACATGCTTCTGTAGGATGGCAGATCACAGGCAAGGTCTGCATTCCACTAGAATGATCTCTGCTTCCCATTGCAAGCACTCTCAACAGTCTTTAGCTTTGGAGGTGGGACAGAGAACTTGAAACCAGCTCAGCATTGGGGAGTGGACCAGAGGAGAAAAACAATAAATTAAATCAAAGATGAGAGTCATTCCGGGTTACGATGTCCCGGACTTGATCCAAAATTTTGTGGTGAGGTATCTCAAAAGGCTGAGGTGTAAGTGCATCTCATTTGACCAGCAGGGTCCTCAGGCCAGAAGCTGTAGGGAGGAGGTGGTTCTTCAAGGTTCAAGATGACCTGCCAGGGGAGTAAAGTGTAGTTAGTGTGCTTCATGCCTGGGAAAGCAATGATGAACTTGGTTGGCAGCCCTCTCCAAAATATTACTTCAACAAGTTGGATAGCCAGCTATGAAACAAATTAGGAACTGGGATAGGAAGACTTACCTCAACATACGGTGGTGGGGGATCCAAGGGGGTGACCCAGATCATTTCTACTGGAGCAATGGTAGGTGCTTCTGGAGGTATCTGATGATTCCTTCTGAGGTTCTCCTCTGGCTCTCTGCACTTGCAACAGAAGCACTTCACCAAGCGATAGATGAACATATTCAGAGGTATCATGACAAGGAAGATGATAGACACCATCCTAGGAAAGGAATGATATCTCCCTGAGTGCCTATACTCTCCATCATCCAAGCCCAGCCTATTTGAGCCTTCTGTGAATGGTACACCGAAGGGCTTACCCTGGGCTTACCTTAAAGAGTGGTTTGAAGTATTCCCTATATTTTTCTTTTCCAGGCAGCATCCACTCTCACAGCATCTGAATCCCATGGTGCAGTTTCTAGTCAAGTCAGATAGGGATGGGGAGACACCGATGACACCATGAGAATCAGAACAAAGGATTCTTGCCTCTCAAGACACCTATAACCTCAAATTTCAGGCCACCCTTGGTGGGTGTGGGTACATATCCATGCAGGGTACACTGGGAGGAACTGAGGTGTGGAATTGAGACCCTGCAATTCAGGGTTCCTCAGGCAGAATAACCTGAAATCCTTGGCATCGAAGCACCGAGCACTGAACTGAACCCTCTGCCCAAGAACGGAGGACAGACCACTGGATGCAAATGCAACAGGTGGTTTTTTCGGTACACAGGTGCAGGCAGATGCTCCTGTAATACAGGTGCAGAGCATACTGGGCTTGCAGGGAGCACAGTATTTATAGGGTTTTAATGTTTACATAAGTATCAGCATAGCAACAGGCATTTCATTGTCTATTTAAGCATGGGCTGGCTAAGGACATCTTGGGGGCAGGGGTAGTTTCCAAGGACTAAATTTCCTGGTATTACCACATGAAAGCCCTCGGCATGCTTCAGCAATTATTATCCGGGTCCCATAACTTCTCTGGTACTCACAGACAGAAGTATCAGGGTCCCATGACTGCTCTGGTGACTACAAACATCGTCTTTGACATCCAGTTTGAGGCGCCAGCTGGGAAAGGCACCTGGTCTGGGTTTTTCCATTAGGCGATGGCTTGGCCTTGTTTTTCTTTTCCTGGGGGGCTCTGGATAGGGATCTTCCGACCATGCTACTAAATCTTACAGGGTAGGCATGGGGCCCCAGGTCAGAAAGGTAAGGGATTAACACCAGCTACAGAACTGCAATGAGGTAGATGCCAATGATGTGTTGTAGGAGAGGGGGTATGGTTTCATCAACAGTAGGAAGAGGGAGGAGGAGGTATCTGTCCCCTTATCCAGGGCATATCTGACCACACCACCCTCCCTCCATTCCCTCCTAAGTCTCATACTTACTGGGTGTTGCATTTGATTATAACCTGTGGGAGAAAACAGACAGAGGTCAGAGCTTCAAAACTGGGAGTTGGATCTCAGTTCTTAGATTGACTGCCTAGCACAAGCTAGATGTTGTGTTCAATTTCTAGCAATGGCAATACATCTGGTGTGGGAAAGCCAGAATAGTGTACATGACCACAGACCCACAACACAAGAAAGCAGGAGAATCATTCAAGGCTATATAGATAGTTTGAGCCCAGACTGGATGCCAGAGAGAAGCTGGTATCACACATTTTTCCAGACATCTCAGGCAGTGCTTCTCAGACTGCCTTCCCCTCCAGCTCCATGTCCAGGGTCAATGATACTCCCAAGGTCACCAGCCATGGAGGAACAGGGAAGGACAGCCACATAGCCCACATGAGCAAGACCTCAGATTCCTCAACCTTATGGATTAGAATCTAAGTAAGAAATACAACAAAAACGGAGGTCAAAGTTCCCATTCAGGGCCCAGGTTGAAACTAGATTCCACTAACAACACAACCTGAGCAAGACTAGGGGCCCAGGGTTCCAGCGCCTCCCTCCTTCTGAAGTGAGTTGTCCACCTCCAATTTCCCCTGGGAAAACAGAAAGGAAGTTGAAAATTGCCAGTGATTACAAGGAATTCATGACAGAATTAGGCAGGGACTGGGGGGGAGGTAAATCTCTACTCATATGGTCCTTCAAAAGACTCAGAAGGCTTGCTTACCTGGTTGGTGCTTACTCGTTGGAGGCTGGATAGCAGGCAGAGGAGCCAGGCGAGAACGCGAACCAGGAATCTGGCACCAGGCATACTGGCAGTTGGCTACTGCGTTTCAGTGTGCAAGGATGGAGTGTCAGGGCACGACCTTCACAACTTCCCTCCACCTGTGTGGCCCAGCCTCAGAATGGGGACAAGTTAGCACACCTGAGTTGGGGCAGACTAAGGCTTCTAGCTGGGAGCTCAGGTAGGGTAGAAGTGGAAAGGAGCTGAACTTGCTCGAGTCTGAGGCACTGGGACTCAGTCTGGGCTTATTTATGTAGTTACCCAGATATACCAGAGCACTAAGGGAACCCCTCGTCTGATCCGCATTTAAGTAGAGCAGGGTGTGGTTATACCCACCTTTAATCCCAGAACACTGAAAATCTCAGTGAGTTCAAAGTTAGTATAAAAAAGCTGGGTGGTAGTGGCACATGCCTTTAATCCCAACACTCAAAAGGAAGATGCCGGCAGATCTCTGTGAGTTTAGGCCAACCTGGTTTACAGATTGAGTTCCTGGCCAACCAGAGTTACAGAGAACCCCCCCTCTCAAATAAACAAAACAAGAACAACTACAAAAAAAGAAAGAAATAGGAAAGAACAAATAGGGGGAGGGGCAACGGGGAGGGAGACAATCTGGGAAGATGACTCAGGGGTTAAGAGCACTTTCGTTGGATCTGAGTTGGGTTTCTAGCATCTACATACCTGATGTCTCTCAAGCAGAAGAGAACACCCACTTCTGAACTCTGAGGGCACCAGATGTGCACATGGTGCAATACATATATCTAATAAATACATATATAAAATGAAATAACAATAAAATTCTATTTGGTTTTGGAAACAGGGTTTCTAACTTTAGAGGTTGTCCTGGAACTCCAGGTTGGTCCCGAACTCAGAGATATCTGCCTGCCTCTGCCTCCCGAGTGTTAGGAATAAAGGCATGTACAATCATCACCTGGCAAAATAACTAGATCTTAAACAAAAAAACTAACAGGGCCAGTCAGTTCATCCAATGGGGAAGATGCATACCACCAAAGCTGAATTTTGAATTTTGTTTTTTGTTTGTTTGTTTGTTTTTGAGACAGGATTTCTTTTAGTTGTTGTTGTTTGTTTTGTTTTTTTATTTGAGACAGGCTTTCTCTGTGGCTTTGGAGGGTGTCTTGGAACTAGTCCTTTAGACTCACAGAGATCAGCCTTCCCTTAGTGATGGGATTAAAGGTGTGGGTCACCATCCGGTTGTCAGTAGTTTTTTTTGTTGTTGTTGTTGTTGCTGTAGTTAGATCAGGCTAACCAAGTGCTGGGATTAAAGGCATGTGCCACCACAGCCAGACTGATAGGATTTTTTTTAATCTAGACTTCATTGTTCTGGAACTCCCTACATAGTCTAGGTTGCCCTGAAACTCACAGAGATCTGCCTGCCTCTGACTCTCAGATCATTTTTTTGGTTGTTATTGTTGATTATATTTGTTGAGAGTGACTTTCTCTGTATAGCCCTTGCTGTCCAGGAACTCTCTCTGCAGAGATCCATCTGCCTCTGCCTCCCAGGGCTGGAATTAAAGATTTGGGAGAACAGCTCAAGAATTCTGAATTGTTCCTTGTTACCTGCACCCCTTTACCTTACATGAAAGGAGGGTGCTCTAACTCCCCAGAGATGACAGGCATGCGAAGGGAGGTAGGCAAAGATTTCAGAAAGACAGACATGGAACAAGCAGAATAGAGGCGGGGCTAGTGCAGTCGTGAACAAGGCGCATTGCTTTGCACTTTGTCCAGCAAGGCAGGAAAAAGATGCTTGGGTTAGGGAGAGAAAAGTCTAGCATAGCATCTCCATTATGTAGACAATTAATAGCCCTTCCCCTTTGCAACTTTGTGTGGAGTTGCTGGTTCATTTCCTTTCTGATTAAAGAAAAACTGAGACTAATTTTAATTCAGATAGTTTAAGCAAATAGAAAATACAAATTTCACATGATATGTATTCTTTTATCTTCATTTCTTTTGTGATCATATAGTTTTGGAATACATACACAAGCAACAAAAATAAATTCTGCAGTTTGTCTTCATACATTTGTATACAGTCATGCAATACACATTGCTAACACTAATTAGTATAAGTAGGATTTTAATTTGATAGCAGGGGATCATAATAGTGGCTAGCAGGAAGAAAAAGGAGATAAAATTTATGGTTAAGTTTTAATTAAACAATTTGATGACAATGTTTTCTAACTAACGAAATAAATCCTAAGATACAAGTAAATCAAACAGGAAATATTTGTGAATAATTGGATCATTTTCCAGTTAACGAATGCCTCATATTTTAAAATTTAACTTACTTTTGGTTTTATATATCAGTTCCATATACGCTTTGTGATTGTAGCGTCAATCTCTGTGAACCCATATGAGCCATACTAACATGATTCAGTGAGCCAAGTCCTCATGAATTACATTACCTGGATTGTCACTAGGCAGGTTGGAAAGTGCAGAGTCCTAATGTAGCCTGTTCTGTTGTAGGCAGGTGCTCTTCCAGTAATGCCTGCCATTTTCTGAAGGGAAAAGGAGAATGAGAAGTAGTGACTCTAGGAGTGAGAGGAGGTAATCTAGTGTCACAGCAAGATGTTAAGGGAGGGGAAACTGCCGTCAGATTGTACTGTATGAAAGAAAAAATTGATGAAAAAGAAAATAAAACAAGTGAAATATCTATGGATATATTTACTAGGAGTTTGAGGATTCAGTTCCCAAGAAAGAACCTATATATTTTTCAATTTTGTACCATATTAACTACCAATTTTTATCTTGCGTATGATACAGTGACAATTGATTAACTATGACTAAGTAAGAATGAATATATCATAAAATTTAAGAGGAATAAAAATACAGGTAAACCATTCACTGCAATAAAGATAACATCTTCAAGAGTTGATGCTAGAAAAGTTGAGTACATACATGCAGAATAGTGAAAGCAATATAGTTTGTGAAACTTTGAGAGTAAGCCAATGAACATCCAGCTGCATATGACGTGGTAGGGGATCACTAAACCCTAACCAACAACACTAACAGAGTTTTACACTGCATGGTATTGGTTTTTGTGGGAGGTAATCTATGGTTATTACAAACAGCATTGTTAGCCTGGGTAGCACATTTGGCCAATAGGGAAGCAAGATAGGTGGGACTAGGAGTGACGAGTGTTCTGGGAAAGTGAGGCACATTCAGTCACAACATAGAACTCAGAAAAGCAGTATGTGGACCCTTCCTCCAGTAAGGGAAGACCACATGGAAATACTCAGATTAGCAAAGATGGGTTAAATACTTAAGTTACAGCTAGCTAGTAAGAGACAAAGCAAATGGCCAACAGCTTACAATTAATATAGCATCCTATGTGTCATTTGGTGGCTTAGACAGAAGTGAGACCCAAGCTGCTAAGTGTGCAAGGGCCCAAGCAACTGGCACGAAGACTACACGCTAAATAATTTACTTTAATTTTTATGTATGAGTGTTTAGCCTGCGTGTATGCCTGTGCCACACATGTTGATTGGCAATGCCCCAGAGAACAGATGACAGCATCAGATCCCTCAGACCTGTAGTCCCGACAGATATGATCTGCCATGTGGTGCTGGGAATCAAACTGAAGACATACGTAAGAGCATCAGGTGCTGTTAACCACTGAGCCTCTCTCCAGTCACATCTAAGTTCCTTTCTTGCCAGAAAGATTCAGGGATCTGTGCTCTTATTTCTGAAACTCCCTGAAGATATGTCTAATCAGCTTTATTTTGCCCCCTCCCCTACCATGATAAGTTTTTCACTGACTCAATAAGCCAGATCAAGAATAATTAAAGAAAAGATTAGCAACAAGTATACTGAGCAAAGCAACACCCAGGCAGGTTTACTGGTCTCTCAGAATGATGCCAGATAAAAGTCGGGTGCCCGGACTAAGGCACGGAGATTCTATAGATTGTAGGCGAGGGGTGATGACATGCCTGCCACAATCTTGGTTTGTGTCCAAATATGATCAAATCTGAGTGCTTAAGAGGCAGCTGATAGCATAAAGGGAGGAGGCTGCAGTAGTTACCAAGGATTCAGAACTGGCTTTGGGTGCCTTTCTTTGGTTGGAGACTATCAGAACAGGTGTGGTTTGAAGAGAGAAACAGGAATGTGTGGGAAAGCCAGAGCCTCCAACAGAACAATGTGACCTGGCATCTCAGGATGTGACCTTTTTTTGGGATAAGGTATCAGTTGTGTGACACTATTCTTGAGGATCCATGAACAAACATCTACTTTCCCCAGACAGAGAATCAAAGTAAGTATATTATCAAAGTCCAACTTGGTGACCCAGTGTGTTTTATTAGGTTTACTTACAGACACAGAAATAACTCACAGACCTGCATCTCCAGAGAACCATCACAGTATGGATGACAGCTCACAAACCCTGGAAAACTAGAGTACTCTGTGGGCAGCTCAACACTTTAGAGTTTCTCTCTCAGGACACCCAGACTAAGCCTCTTGCAGGCAGCTTGGTGGTTGGAAAACAACTCAGCGGCCTTACTGCTTATACATGCTTGAGAAGACAGAGCCTAAAGAGTCTTGTCAGTTTCAGGGACTTCCAGAAACCTTTGAGTTGTTTACTTCCTGAGTTTAAGGAGTAGGGAGTTTCCTTGAAGAGGGTGAGAGTAGTGAGTTTTGTCAATTTCAGGGACTTCCTGAAGCCTTTGAGTTGTTTACTTCTTTAGCTTAAGGAGCTTGCCTGCATGAAACATTTAAAGCCACTTAACACTTCTGGGTTAGAGGTTTAACTTCCAGGAAATTGTTGTCCACTGTGGTTGC